CGCCTTGACAAGTTTATTTATACACAAAAGGTGCCTAGGCACATTAACGTCAAGGAAATAAATGAATTAATAGGAAAACATAAAATAAAGAGTAAGAAGCCTGAAATATCGTAGAATTCGCGAGATCAATTAAATAGGTAAATGCTGATAAAGGTTATTTTCAGGCATTGTTTATTTGTATTGGTTCATTTTCAGTTCTTAATTTATACTAGAGTTTAATTAAATATATTACTGCTCTTTCATTAAAGAATGAAATAATTTCGTTTGAAAGGTAAATTAATTTTTTCATTGTAGTATTTTCGCCGGAAATTTATGAACTATGTTTACAATTATATAAGAGGAGGATCTTTTGAATAGTTCAAAATAGTGTTATAATATAGCCCGAAAACGACGGTTTGACGTATATACATCTATGCTAAAATGCAGTCTTTGCTGCAAATACTTTGGAATATGGTTTTTTATAATTATGAAAAATAAGGTCGCAGAGTGCAAATATCGTGTAAGATGTTCCGATACCTTATGTTAGTCTTGGGCAATAGTTCTGTAATCGCTGAACTCTGTTAAAGTTAGTTTGCTTTAAACACTCACAGCAATTTACTTGTCACAGGACGACTGAAAACCCACAAAGACTTTTTTCTACATGTGACTGAATTTGATGCTTTATGAAGTTTTTCAAGATTGTGGACAGAGTTTGCAAAATGTTTAGTGGAGTTGATTAAAAGAGTCTGAGTTGTTTGCTTTATTTAATAAACCCTGGAACTTAACATAAAAGAGCAAGCCATTGAAGCAGTAGTGCATCACACTAAAACGGAAACGTTCAACTATTTATCCTTTGGTCCGCCAGGAATGACGAAGATTTGCCAAAATATTAAAATGGAAATATTTGGCATACAGAATGCAGAATTTAAAAATTAAGGATTACAAAAAGCAAATAATTTATATTTTTTAACTAGTCTTCTTGTCTCCAGCGAAACATGTAATGCCAGCAAAGAAACGGAAATACTTAATATTTGTCAAGCGATCATCTTTGCGAGTTCAAATGGAAAAAACTATTTATATATATAAAAAACTTGTTGAAACCATGCACGTTTGTGGTCACTCAATATCTTACACGGATAAGCGTCGCTCAAGAAGAAATTCAAATTTATTTAGAAAGCGATTACATTACTGTCTCTAGACAATTGACGATCCCTAATGAGTTCCGTTTAAATAAAAAAATTCAAATTCAATGAAAAACATGTACTGATAACCGAAGCAATATTACAAGAGGATACCTCAGTTCTAAACACCTGTCGATGTAAAAAAAGGCAGAGACATTCAATTTTCTGTTAAATAAGATTTTTTAATTTAGGCAAAACATTTCAGGCGTAACGAACCATTATGTTCCTGTAAAAGAAAATTTATGAAATGTATTGGTTCCTGTAAATGTGTGAAATCAATATGTAGCAATAAGCGAGACAAAAATGATCCCTGACTAACACTAAATATCTCTAATTTATCGGACACTGAAACAAATTCAGACCGAATGAAGAGTGAAAAACGTAATGACAATTTTCTTTATAAGTCAAAAACCTATTATTTTTGCCGAAGATATAGGCTAATATTGGATTGGAATGGGAAGAAGGATTTTTTTTTAAGATTAACTTTTTATTTCTACTTAATTTTAGGTGTTATCATAGATATAATTTTAATTTTTATTCTAGCTTCTATGTACACTTATGTATTATTAGTTTAATATGAAGTGTTGCCAATAAAATATAATACAAATAATTACTAATGTCAAATATAATAAAACGGTACCATCCCTTTGTAACAAGTAATTAATCAAAAAATTCAACTATGAGAAAAATACGTGTATCATATTCGCTACGAAAGAGGGTCTACAAGCAAAAACGATCCTAAGCGCTCTTCGGAACCGCTAAGTCGTTTATTGCCTGACCGTCCTCGCACATCTGACCCTTTCTAGCTGCTTCGCTGATGGCCTTGATATTGACGACATAGCTTTGCATTCTGATAATTAAAAAAAAAAATGGTCCATCCGATTGGGGTTTTTGAAAAAGTAACAGATTCCAAATAGTTTTCATGTTACACCGAGGTAAACGACAAAATTAAAATGAGTTTTCAGGGCAAGCGTTTATTCGTGTGTGTAACTAATACCTCGACCAATAAAAAGGAAAGGAGTGTTTTTAATTACACTGATTCTTTTTATTTAGTTTTAGAAAATAAAAATTGAAATAAATCAAAATAATACTCAAAAAATATTAAAAAAGGTTTGTGACTATTTGATTTCAAAAATTCATTGCAAACCCATTCAGAATTATTACTGTTCTGTCGTATTCTCATAAAATCTTAGCAAAAGTTGACATCTTTTTAAAAAATATGTAGCTCCTCCAAAACTAAATCCGCGGCACGTCACAAAGCGACCGCCAGCAAATTAAATTTAAATGCACTCGGAGCCATTCGTGACGTGCAAACGTGCAACGGATTTAGTTTTGGGTGAACCATGTTTGCAATATCGAGCGAATTCTATATACAGCCGAAACTCTTTACTCATTTTGACTTCCTTAATATACAGTCTATTAGTAAATCATACCTTGTCATTTCTTGTATATACGAGAAACTTGGCATCATCGCGGAGTCGTATATGGCAGAAGTGAGAAAGAGTGTCTGATGTCCAATAATTTTGAAAAGAAAAATAATTACCCCTCTTATGCGAAACCATATATTTAAGCCCCCCTCATCATATATGCATCGAAAGTTTTATAATATACGTCTCGAAAATAGTGGATGTTAGGCCGCCCGCTTCACGTAGCGGAAGTCCCAACTTAACAAGTATCAATATATATATATATATATATATATATATATATATATATATATATATATATATATATATATATATATATATATATATATATATATATATATATATATATATATATATATATATATATATATATATATATATATATATATATATATATATATATATATTCTCACGTATTGATTCACGGATGGAAAAATGTGATGACACTATATTCCGGGATATCATCCGTTCGCTTGTTGAATATATATATATATATATATATATATATATATATATATATATATATATATATATATATATATATATATATATATATATATATATATATATATATATATATATATATATATATATATATATTCTACTATATTAGAACAAAACTTTAGTAAATTAAAATCAAAAATCCCTGACGAGAAAAAAAGCCACGTGGTGTACCAAATACCGTGCCAAAATTGTAACGGTGTCTACATCGGACAAACTAGTCAATACTTAAAAAGTCGCTTAAACGGCCATAAATATGACAAAAAAAATAACACTGCTCTTTCGAGCCATTCCAGGGAGAATCAGCACTCGTTTGACTTTCAAAGTGTGAAAATTTTACGCTCAGAAAGGCACACAAAAAGACGGGAATTTTATGAAATGATTGAGATCCAAAAAAATCCAAACGCCATAAACTCTAAGACTGACACAAAAAATCTCAGCAAAAAAAAAAAAAGCTTTAGAAAAAAAAAAAACTCCGTTGTCCTACCGTGAAGAAACGTACATCCGGGCTTCGCATTATTGTTTTGGTTCGTCGTCTTATGAATGTGGCTTGTCGATTTACATATTCGATATGTCTGTTGTGAATGTTGTAAAACTGTAAATTACCAAACAACTATATAGTGAACCGTTGATTTTTGGCTTAAGGTATGTATGTAATCGTAATATAAAAAATTATGTATGTTTTATTGTTGTGCATCTATTTTTATACAATTTTTAATCACTTTGTTTGTTCTATTGACTTGCACTAGTAATTTTTAATCATTTCAATGCTGACTCCTATACAAATTTTTATCTATGTTTTAATTATGACCAGGAAAACAATGCTATAAATAATTTTATTTAAAAATACATTTTTGTATGTTAAAATTAAATGTCTGAAGAAGGTCTTGAAGGCCGAAACGTCACAAAAAATAAAATGTTTCACAAGTAACGGAAACTTATTTTAATTTCACTAAAAAAGGACCAAAAAAAACCCAAGAACCATTTCTTAAGTATATATATATATATATATATATATATATATATATATATATATATATATATATATATATATATATATATATATATATATATATATATATATATATATATATATATATATATATATATATATACATCATATGAAAAATATTTACCCCCATACAAGTCAATAAAAATAAGCAACTCTGTAGAACTTCGGCTAACAAATACAATTGAGTATCTACACATAGACTTTTTTAAGATGGATCATCCACGTTAACAAAGTTATAGAAAAACCCAGGTAAATTCATTAAATTGAGAAACTAAAAATAAAATATAAAGTTATTATATGATAAGTAAATAAACGTTACTATTATTATGTAAAAAAGGCATGAATACTCCGATACAATGATTAAACTGCGATAGTACTAGAGCATCCAAAAGTAGTCTTTTAGGGTCCTATATTGCTGTTACAAAAGGTAAAACAGAGGTCTTTATATGCAATGCAAATGCCATTTGAGGATTTATCAGGATTAACTACGAGCATGTGTTCATTGACAGATTCGTAAAATTTCTCAGGAAAATAAAAGTTTAGTTGGGTGTTATGGGCATAAAGATGATGATCACAAAACTGTAAAAAATCACAAACAAAAGTGGACCTAAAATATTTCCCTGTGGTACTCTCTTGTTAAGTCCCAAAGGCCTAGAGGCTAATTCGTTAAGTTAGTTTTTGCGCTCTGTCATTTAAAAAGGATGATACGAATGAATACACTTCCATAAACCCTACGTCATTAAAAATCTAACTAAATCTTTCAATGTGGTATGTGTTTCCTTACTTTGTCGGTATTGTATTTTTTGTTTAGTATTTTAATTTAATCTGTTTTTAAAAATATAATTGAAAATAAAATGAAATATGATGAGCTTACGAATTAAATTTTACTTTATTTTCCAGACTGATGAAATATGGAACAATTCGAGCAACTACTGACCTGTGCGATTTGCCTGGATCGTTACCGAAACCCGAAACTTCTTCCGTGCCAGCACAGTTTTTGCATGGAACCCTGTCTTGAAGGTCTAGTCGACTACGTGAGACGGCAGGTAATATATCACCCGGGGAATCCGCGGATAAATCAGGAAATATCGATATTGTTCTGCAAACGACACGGATGCTACCGCATTTTACAAAATTTTCTGTGTCAGCTGAAAATTTAGTAGTAAAAATTTTCGATGATAACTTTTATCAAACATTGTGATGGATCACGATGTTACCAAAATCTATATAAATAGGTGGACTATCACAGTAATCAAGAATACTGCATTCTCCCATGGGGGACATATTAAAATAAAAAACGGAAACCAAAGAAAGAAGGTATAACTGATGTCAATAAGAAGATTCGACAACAGGATTTTTTTAAAGTGGAAAAGTACTTTTTTTTAATTTTGTACTTTCTCTCTTTTTCTATTTAAACTGTCTCCTTCCTTTTCCCTTATTATCTTTAAGTCCAATTAATTAATGAATGAAAGTACTAATTTTGGCAAAAGTTGGTGCATGTTCAATAATCATAACACTTCTAATAATGGCAAGTGAAGCCAGCATACAGGGAGGATAAAAAACTCAAAAATTGCACAAAAGTAAAGTGTCCTAAAAGACAAAAACAGTTTTTTTATTTTATATTAATAATTTGCTTTTTTTTTTCATTAATTTTAAATACTGTCGCAAAATATTCAAAATCAAATTAATTCAATAAATTTTTGTTGTAATTCCATAGTATTTCTCAAATTAACTAAGACTTTTAACTTTTAGCAAAACACAAATTTTATTTGTTGCAACAATATTTAATAACACTAAACATTTGTATAAAAATTCCCGTTTAAAATCTGTATAAATTATGATTAATTAACAAACAAATTCTATTCAAATAATCATGCATATCTATGTTATAAAGATAGTTTGAAGTTAACATTATGACAGTCTGATGACATTGGTGGATGTCAAATAATAATTTCTTGATTACTAAGAAATGTTATTTCCTTCAGGACATATAGCATTACCTGAAAAAGCAGAGTTAGTTTTGGTATGACATATTCAATGGACGACATCCAAATAAATAAATTCACTATTCAACTGTTAGTAGGATTTTAACTCATTTCAAGCAGGTGGGGTCTTTAGAGTATTTACACAATAGGAATGTAGGTTTTAAAACTGTATGTAATGAAGAAAGTCAACTAAAAGTACGTCAGGCAGTGGTTAATACACTATGTTAAGAAGATTCTCAGAAAAAAAAATATCATGCCTATAAACCAAAATTTATTTGCACGTTTCAAGAATTGAACTATGCTTTGCCCCACGATGTCTGAATGAGGGTTCATGGACAAATAGAACATTGATTTTCAAAAACACATTCTTTTTAGAGATGAATCCACGCTTACACTAAATTTTGTGTTTGGAAAAACGTCATAAACTGTGGTTTGTACATGATGAATGTCCTGCACATTCTTCCTGAACTGTTATCGAATGTTTAGCTAACGAGGAGGCCACCATCTCCTCGTTAGCTAAACATCACCCATTTTTTTTTCTGATGGGGATATTTGAAACAAAAACTTTATAGGTATCGACCACTTAATAATCCTGATAACTTGAAAATTCAATAAGACTTTTCCTCCTTTTCAGCGGTATCCATTTTAAAATTTGTTTGGGAATCCGGTCTTCATTCATTCTCTCAACATTACATACAGTTTTAAAACCTACATTCCTATTGTGTAAATACTCTAAAGACCCCACCTGTTTGAAAAGTGTTAAAGTCCTACTAACAGTTGAATAGTGAATTTATTTATTTGGATGTCCTCCATTGAATATGTCATACCAAAACTAACTCTGCTTTCTCAGGTAATGCTAAATGTCCTGAAGGAAATAACATTTCTTAATAATCAAGAAATTATTATTTGACAACCACCAATGTCATCAGACTGTCATAATGTTAACTTCAAACTATCTTTATAACATAGATATGCGTGATTATTTTAATAGAATTTGTTTGTTAATGAATCATATTTTATACAGATTTTAAACGGAAATTTTTATACAATTGTTTAGTGTTATTAAATATTGTTGCAACAAATAAAATTTGTGTTTTGCTAAAAGTCTTAGTTAATTTGAGAAATACGATAGAATTACAACAAAAATTTAGTGAATTAATTTGATTTTGAATATTTTGCGACAGTATTTAAAATTAATGAAAAAAAAAAATAGCAAATTATTAATATAAAATAAAAAAAAGGTTTTTGTCTTTCTGGACACTTTACTTTTGTGCAATTTTTGAGTTTTTTTCCTCCCTGTACGCTGGCTTCACTTGCCATTATTAGAAGTGTTATGATTATTGAACATGCACCAACTTTTGCCAAAATTAGTATTTCATTTTATATATAAATAAATAAATAAATAAATAAATAAATAAATATATATATATATATATATATATATATATATATATATATATATATATATATATATATATATATATATATATATATATATATATATATATATATATATATATATATATATATATATATATATATATATATATATATATATATATATATATATATATATATATATATATATATGTATATATATATATATATATATATATATATATATATATATATATATATATATATATATATATATATATATATATATATATATATATATATATATTCTCACGTATTGATTCACGGATGGAAAAATGTGATGACACTATACTCCGGGATATCATCCGTTCGCTCGTTGAACTCCGACTGGAATCCTGCATCCGACTGGAATCCTGCAAATCCTGCATCCGACTGGAATCCTGCAGACGTTTCGCCAAAATCTCACTTGGCATCTTCAATGCTCGCGCTCCGAAAACACTTCGAACACTGTGTATAGTGTCATCATATATATATATATATATATATATTGATATATTGATACTATTGAACATATGACAAAAGTTCTATACTTACTATAGCACAGAACATACTAAAAATACAGTGTGGGCAGCATAGACAATGCATTTCAAATAAGAGAAGGCAACATAGCGTATAGCAGTCCCAGAGTCGGTTCAGCCCAAAAGGTACCTGTGTGTGTTATGCAGATAGATAAGATCATTTTAAGTACATATTAAATGGATTACTCAAAGATTACAATAACAAGTTTTCAATTTCTTTGTATCTACAATAAGCAGAGAAAGTCTGTCCAAATGGTTTATAATACCACGAATTATGAAATTTTTTTATTATTCTATGTTCGATTTCTTATCATTCGTCAAATTCAAGAAATTCGGGCAAAGCCAAAAGTTCCACGCGAGTGCGAAAATTATGATTTTTGATATCATTTGCTGTCTAGTGAATGATAAAAATTTGAGTTTAAGTGTTCCTCTGAGTGTCGCTTCAAAACTTGAAAAACAAATTTTAATATCAAGAAAGAAGAGGAACAATACATGTTACTGAACAAAATTGGAGTAATTATATTCAATACGTCAGAGAAAAAAAACGAAAAGGGAATGTGTTTACAACCTATCTATTCTATTAGCCAAAATTCTGACGCCAGTTCTGAGGGCAACATTGACAAAATTTCACTGTTATACTATTCCTAAACTAGATAGAGCGAAATCGACTTACATGTCAAGAGTTCGATTTTTGAGAAACATTTAATGGTGAAAACCGCATTGCGATATCTTCACTGAAAACCAAGACATAGGGCGTTTTTCAATTTTCAGCACTTTTTACAATTGTAGATAACTTTTCCATTTATGAAATTTTTGGATTCGTATAATTCGCAAATGCAGTCGCGCACTCAATTTTCTTTAAACACTTCTCCGTTTTCTTATAAATTAATAGAACTTTCACCCAAACTATATCGTCAATGTTACTTCGACTATAGATAGATATTTCAGATGCCGAAACAGTGCTACAATGTCAGATATCGAACAATAATGATTATTCTAATAAAGTTTTGTAAAATAATAAATTAAGGAGTTAACATTTAATGTGACATTTATCTTATCATTTATTGCAACCAGAAGTTCTTTCTAGAAGTACTACAGTTTCAAATTTTGAATGTAATTTGGACTATTCTTCAATCAGGCTTCTAGGCATATGACATTTTTTGTAGCAATTTCTTTTTTAATACCAAGTCTGTGGCAGTGAGGTTTTTCTAAAATGTTTTTTTTGTCGTTAACATTGCAATAATGAATTAAACCACTAAATAAAAATAATTTATGTTTTTTCTTCGTTTGGCGATAATGCTAATACTAAAAATATGCTTGTCAACTAAATTTCAGACTTAGTAGTTAACTTACAAATGTTGTGTTTATATTAGGAAAAACAATAACAAACAAACTGCACGTGGACACTTTACAAAAATAAATTTAGGTTAGATTGTTTGTGCTTAAATCAGCAACGGCGCATGATTTGTAACGTGACAATATTACAAAAAGGTGTTTTATGCTTAATTCATACAATGATTTGGAACACATTCGATTAATTCATTTTCGAATGACGACGGATAACGTTTTATTGAGACTGTTATTACTAATACACAGTCCACAAAGATTTTGCATTTTTTATATTTTTGAAGTTATAGAGACTAAACTAATAATTTTTTTTTCCATCACGCAATATTGTTGTATTAATTCCTGATGTCATATTTATTGTTTTTTCAAATAGGAACATTACATAACATTCTAAAAATTGAAATTGCTACTCTACTGCCATACAGTTTGCATCAATTAACCGATAATTGGCGGGGAATTCTCGAAAGTAAAATATAATTTCTGGGATTGCCAAATATTTTTTACCAAATTTACTGGCACAGGACACATATTAAACCTAATAAAGAAACTTGGTACAGACTACATCAAATTCTGGGGACTGGACGTTTCTTGTTTCTTATTGACTCATCCAAGAGAAGCCTTAAAACTATTCTTTTGCACAGTAGAAATGTTCTTAGTTTTACACCTGTTTCTCATTCTTTGCAAATAAAAAAATGGCACGAGAATCGGGAACTTGAGAAAATCAAATACAAGGACGACGATTTGTGGTGCTTTAAAAATTGTGGGACATCTACTAGGTTAGCAGTCAGGATATATGAAGTACTCCTGTTTTTTGTGGGAGCGCGACCCAACAGTAGGTAAAACAGAAATGTTCAAAAGGGATTAATTTAACTCCCGGATCAAAATTTTTTTTTTCTACTCCCGTCCGTAAAATACCTAATTACCCACCGATCTAGCGTGCGGGAAGCGTCACTTTACCACGTCAATTTCGTTTTGAATTTTGACGTTTGTCAATTCTGACGGTCATGTCAGTGAATCTATTCGTGTAGTTTTGCGAAAATGTACCAAAAACGGCCGTAGAAAAAGTATAGTATGCAACTCGTTCGGTAAACTTTTTAACTCACTCGTTTATTAAAAAATCGCTCCGCTCTTGTCAAATAACCTAGTGAGTCAAATGACGTTTACGGCACTTGTTGCATAATATACTATTTCACCATAGTTTTATTGATCCACGGAAAATTCTCTTACCAGCGTTGCATATTGGGACTGATACAGCAGTAGGTTAAAGCTTTAAATAAAGATGGAGCATGTTTTAAATACCTACGAGCAAATCCACAGTTGAAGGAACTAATTTCTTTAGGTCCTCAAATAAGAAGATCAAGACTTTGTGAATACCATGATCGGATCTGTAAAGGTTGCATGGGTTTCATTTACTGATGTTATAAAAATTTTTCCAGGAAACAACAAATATCCTAATTACAAAGACATTGTAGAAAACATGTTTGCGTTAGAAATTTAGGGAAATCGGATGCAGTATGAGTATAAAACTATACTATACTACTTTCTCGAAAATCTTGGTGTCGTGAGTGAGCAACAAGGTAAGGGGTTCGACCAAGCTTAGGTTTTTGTAAATGTGCTAATAAAAATAATGTCCAAATCAATCCAGATTTTCATTTATTAATTTGTTGACAAAACACAAAGAAAATGTTTATCTAAAATAGGTAAAAATTACTTACCGCCGACACTACGTTACCTAGAAAATCAAATCAAACAACCGTTGGTCATTTTTTTCTTCTGAGTTCACACTATTTAGATCAGTATTGACTAGTGCAATTTACGTCTATTCTCTAAATTAAGCTTTCAGGCGTTATTTACGTACGGTCCACGACTTCATTCTAAAGTAACAATCTTTTGCCTTTCCCGGCTTGTGTAGGGTTTTGGAATGGGTCGGAAAGCTGAACCCAGCAATAAGCAGCACCCTCAGGCCACGCCCCGCACAGCCGGGTATATTCAAATGGGAGTATTTTCCTATACCTATACCCTGTCTTGTCAGCTATTCTTAATCTGAGCGTTTTGTAATTTAATATGAAAAAACTGGTGTTTTGGATAGATAGTAAACAAAATTTTAAATATAATGTCCATTCAGCACTAGATTAAACTTAAATTATATTTATTTTTGAAAGAAACTTCCACAGACTGGGCAACTTGTAATTACACTTATTCCGAATTTCACCTACGTCAGGTATTAACTCTGTCCCTTAACGTTTCGCCAAATATGCTACTAGCTTCTTCAGAACGCTGTCTGAAACTGATTTGATCGCTCTGCACGTACCTCAAATACCTGGCGGGGAGGTTCAAATGATAGGGAAAGATTCAATCAACTCCCAATCCCAACTCGATAACGATCCGACCTATTCTATAGAACGTAAAATTTAAATCTATCATAAAAGTTTCGTCTCTTGCGAAATCCATAAAAAAGACATCTCGTTACAGCTAATATTTTTATGGAACATTTTGAAAAACTAGCCATTGATAAGTTCCATCTCAGATCAAAACTCTGGAAGAAGTATGGAGCGGGCTCTCCACTATGCCCTGTCATCCCTGGTCTTTTCATGGAACATTTTGAAAAACTAGCAGTTGATAAGTTCTGTCTATAAAAAAACCGACTCTTACGGGCCGACAACTACTTATCGCATCACCATCCAACCTAAAAAAGCTCCATGATCAATTCTTATGTCAAACAATTTCCGTTATCAACATATCAAACGTTCAAATAAAAAATACACCTCACGAAAACCACTTATTCACTACCACTACCGCTACACAATACAGAATATCAAAAATTCTGAAAGACGTCATCAAAACTAGATTCCCTACTCGTCCTAACATCTACCATCGGTAAAAGATAAAAATTCTCTAGATACAGCATACCGTGCAGTTGACTAAAAGAATATCAGAGATCAGTTAAACTTCGAAAACTAACTACATCAGCAGTTTCTGAACATGGTCACGAAAGAGGGCACCAGATTTTATTCGATAAGATCAAAATACTCACATCTAGCCCTTTATTTTATACAAAAAAATATTCTTGAGTCTCGAAATATAATATAATATAAACTGCGGCACAAATTTCTACCTGTCTTCCATTTGGGATTTGGTCATCCCTGAAGCAATTAAAGCTCCCCCTACCGCTCTGAAGAAACCGGCAGTATGTTAGGCGAAACGTCAGCGAGACATTTATTTATTTATTTCAATATTATCGTATCCTCCATGTTATATTTATAATACTTTTAGCTAATCATCGTCGTTAGATAATACACAATCATTTATCTTTCGTAGGATTTATCTTAAGACAAAAATTAAATAAACTATTGGACACTACAACCTTGCATATAACGATAACACGTACATAAAAATCCGTGCACACTTTTTATCAAGAATTTTTGTCACAAATGTATTCTGACACTCAATTGTAGAAAAGTGCTGTTTTGTGCTTTTCAATATGAAAATGGAAGGCACCGTCAAAATTTTATTATTTTCGCACATAGTTTTATAAGTTTCTAGACAATGAAAATTAGTCTGGGTGTTTTCCCAAAATTAAATACTATACTAACAAAAACTTTGGCCATTTTAGTTTGAGTACAGCATAAAATGAACTATTCAGCTTTTTGCAGAGCTGATGTATTTATGGTTTCCATGATAACTGCTGCAAGACGTGCCTCCTGTTATTGAAATTGATACACACAGTTTTGTTTGTATTCACTATAACATTGCTCAACAATATAAAACTGTTAATCAGGCTCTAGAAGCTACAATAAATCCAGAATCATCTGCCAATAGAACTCTATGAACGTAGTTTGAAATTTTGTGTAAATCTCAACAGAAATTTGAGAATAATAAAGACCTATTCACTGCTCTTTGAACTCCTCTGATAGAACGCCGTTAAGACGCATTTTGCGTTTTCTTTGACATAAAAATGACGAAGTGCATTCAACAAATTTGACGGGAATTCCAAATTCGTTGAACTTTTGCATCATAATTGGATTTTTCACTGTAACATACTCTACAATTAAATCGAGGAAAACACCACTCACATAATTATTTTTGTCAAATTCTTGATACATGTAGCTATTCAGTCCACAGTGGCTAACTCAGTTGACTTGCCAGTCTTAAATATTTACTGATTTATAAATATCTATTTCATTTTGCTAATCTCCAAAGCTTCCAACAAATTTAGTTTTTTGGTTTTTGATTCATTATGTAAAATATCAAAATTATCGTCATTTCTAAAGTTAAATGAAAATTATAGTCAGAATCCGAACTTGAATTTGTATACGCCCTTTTATGTACGTTAATGGGCTTCTTAAATGTTCTCCCTGTTTGTCCAACATAAATTCTGAGACATAATCCACAATTTCAACTTGGGGACTCCGAATTTCTGAACTTTTCGTGATTTAGTTTTATTGTTTTTCAAAAAATTTCCCATAGTGTTTTCAGCTTAAGCTTTTAAGATTGCTTAATATTAAGACCAAATTAAAGTGATTAAAGTTATTATATGTAACTTCTCTTGGGGCTACTTCAAGCCCAACTCCAAGGTCAGACAAAATCTGATTTGTTATATAATTTAAATAGTGCAAGTGCAGAAAGTTTAAAACTAGTTAAAGACTAGTTCCGTGTCTTTGGTAAATTTTATACGGTTATGTGTGGAGTTAATATGATTCAAAAAGGACTGCAATTGCCTTTCCGTTTCAGTGAAACAAGCAAAAACATCATCTACTTATCTCAAACATCAAAGAAATCTTTTGAGCAGAGGATTTCTATGTATGATATTTTCCACATTGTCCATGAAAATTTCTGCAAGTAGTGGACTAAGTGGCTTAATCCTTCTTTAGCCATATAAAATTGACCATTAAATTCAAAATAATTTTAATAATTATAACTACTAATATAGCTAACAAGTCTTGTTTTCTGATAGGGTTAGCTTGTCTGTGAGTGAGAATATTGCCGATTATGTTGATTACATCAATCGGTGGAATGCTAGGACGTCAAGGGAAACTGGAATTGATTTAGGAGGAATTTTTTGTTATTCTTGCTGATTAGTTTGAACAAATATTTGATAACATATCTAGGTTTAAAGGCAATCTGATATTCTAAAATCTTCATTAATCTTGTTGAAAGTAACTGATGGTGCTGTTACAAAAGAAACTACATCCTGTTTGTGCAATTTAATTACATGGTCTTTAATTGTTTAATGAAATAAAAGTAATTAAGTTCGAAACTTGATGTTCTTTTGTTTCTTGCTATTTGATATTCGCTAGGTTTATATTCTTATTTCGGATAGGTCTACCCAACTTGTGAATATAATTTTCGTGCCACTCGGACGGGAAATGGAAACACTTTTTACCTTTATATGCACTCTTCCCATTTATTTGCAGGTGAAATGCCCGGAATGCCGTGCGGAACACAGAATACCTTACCAAGGGGTTCAGGGTTTTCCCACCAACGTGACTCTCCAAAGATTTCTGGAACTTCACATCGAAATAACCGGCGAACTACCAGATCCCAACGCGGGACAAGTAATGGAACGGTGTAATGTGTGTTCCGAAAAAGCTTACTGCAGTTTCTGCTATCACTGCGACAAGAAAATATGTGAAGAATGTAAAGGAGCGCACATGGAAATCCTACGTCGCGAAATTTCGAGAATAAACAATCAAATTAGAAGAGGGATTCATCGCCTTCAAGACACTCTCTCGTTGGTGGAAAAAAACGCACAAAACATACAAACCAATTGTTTATCGGTTGGCGAAGAAGTGGAAGAAATTTACAGAAGATTAAACAAGGCACTCAAAGATCGAACTGAATATTTGCGTGGCGAAATCGACCGCTATTTAGGAACAGAACTGCGAACGCTGACTAGCTTAAAGTCGAATCTGGAACTGGAAATTTCCAACATTTTAAGCAACTGCGACTTAGCTGACAAACACATGAACGAAAACGTTGATCTATGGGACGACTGCGAACTAATGGACGCGAAAGAAATTTTCTTGAAAACGGTTGAGTTCATACGCAATTTTGAATATGAAAACACAGATTACAGCAGAAAAATTAGATTAGTACTCGCGCATGATCCTAACCAGTTAGTTTTACACGTGGCTGGATATGGGGACCTAAATATCGCTTCCAACCCCTTTGGCCAAACTAGTGGGCTTTTGCAGCCTCCCGGTCCGGGTCTGATGAGGTCAAAGAGCGATCACAGATTAGCGTTCCGCCAGCAGGAATCTGGAAGCTACGATAGAGGTTATGGCGAACAAGAGCAAGATTCTGTCCTCGGAGGAAGAAAATTTGGAGAACGCACTCAAAAGCCTGGAACTAGTGACAGATACAGCGCCGATAGATATGGCAGAACGGGGGCTGATTACGAAGAAGATCACGAAAACCGCCCAGCTAGATCGAAATACAGCAGGTATAGGCGTCGCGCTGCCACAGCAGCAGATGACGAATCTGACAACGAGCAAAATAAAGGAGTCAGATTTCACGAACAAAAAAAAGAGGAAAGGGAACGAACGCTGGACACTGAAGATGTTGCACGTGGTCCTCTAAGTGGAATTACCAGACTAGCAGATTCTCCAAGGGTAATGAAAAAACTACAGGAGAGTGCAAGTGGAAAGAAAAAAGAGAAAGATACCCCACAACCGCCTACACCTACCCCGCCTCAGTCAAAGGTAGTTCCCAAAAGACCTCCTCCGACTACTAGACAAGTGAGCGAGGAAGATGAGATATCCAAAATAAAAAAGCAAAATAAAGGGGCAACTACATCAACCGAAACTGCTACTGAAACCAGAGCAGCTGAAAGGACGGAAGAAAGACATGGCACTCAAAGGAAAACCCCTGCCCCCGAGGTGAGTGTGGATGAGCCGTAACCTCTAATTGTACCTGATTAAATCAATTTAGAATTTAGAATAGAATTTAAGTTGCTTGCCGTCCTTTTACTGTGGTATCATAAACAATTAACAAGAAAGATACTACTCGCTCACACATTGGCATGTTTCTTCTCCTTCTGTGTTCCACTCTATAACTACACTTTCAAGTGTACTTTTTGTGTTGTTTTCTTGTGAAGCATGAAGATGTACCTATACGAGAACCCATCCTAACGCAATGTTTTCTGTAGGCACCGTCAAGCGCTGAAGAATCTGAAGAATCTCTACCAGCGCTACAGACACAAAGAAAAACAACTCCATCTAAAGTAACGGCGCCAACTTCTGTTACAAGGAGGCTGTCGGAAACGCCGCATAAGAAAAGCGCACGATCCGCCAGTAGCGATTCGAGCTCCTCAGCCGAATCCGCCTCTTCTGGCGCAATTCGAAATACTGGAGCCCCATTTACCACTGAAGAGGTAAAACAAAAATATTTGTCGCGTAGCAACGAGCCTCCCGAAACGCGAAGTAGAACCTCGTCAGCTACTAAAGACTCACCAAAACCTTTCCAGAGTCGTTTTTTAAACAAACCGGCCACGGTTGCGCCTCCGCCAGCTAAAGATGACGACGAAACGGAAACCACTTCAGAAGAGGAAACTGAATCCGAAGAGGAGTCGGACGAACCTGCAAGTAAGAAATCGGACGAAAAAATGGCCAAAAGCGATATTGGTCCTTTGTTAGCGCGCAGTGCTAATGCTAGAGATTCTAGCTCTAGCAAAACAAACAGGGACGAATCTCCTTTAAGTAGATCAAAATATTCAGCGTCAGATGAACAAACAAATAGATATGGAGGAAGGAGACGAACAACAACCGCCCACGAGGAAGAACCTTCACGCTACGGTTACACTAGTCGCTTCCTAAACAAAAGCAAAAGCTCGGCGGCAATTGCGCAAGACGAAGACGACTACAATCCGAAATACGGTTCCTCTGCGAACAACGATGAAGAAAGTAAATATCCGAGCGGGCGGTCGAGGTATATGGCATTGAAAGAAAGGCGTCAGCGACTAGCGAGGAGTCGTAGCAGTCAACAATTCGGCGACGAGGAGGAAGTCGATGATCCGATTTCCCCTACGACGTCTAATCCGTCAGCCTATTTGGCTTCGCGAGGTTACGGCACTTCAGCATCAGCACATGATCTTGCAAGGAGCCGTTCCTCTCATACACTAAAATCCAGAGATAATTCGCCCGATAGAGCTGCAGCGCCCACCGAAAAGGACGGGGCGGCTCTAAGCTCATGGGCGCGATATTTGAAAAACAAATACGGCAACAGAAGCGGAACGAAAGACAAAGAGAATAACGTAAGCGCTAGTTCGCCACCGTCGAGCAGCTCGTCGGCAACAGCCAGGAGACTGTCTCTAGGTCTTCCTCTTAGATCGTCTGCAGAATTGGCAAGCTCTGACGACGACCAAAAAAACATGCAAGGCTCCCCCACTACCCCTACAGCAGCTACGGCAGCGGCCGGTAAGTTGACATTTAAAACGATCATGCCACCATAGCGGGCGAACGTCGACGGGCATGTTGTTCTCTCCGTCTTCCATATCTATCCGTCTAACGTGTCATTCGAGAAAACTAAATTCTCACACTAAAACACTGGGAGTGAAAAGTGAAAACTATTACCCGAATTGATCTATTTATCGGAGAACTTTTGGTAAATATTTGCTAGATTTGCTTAAGCTGACGAACTAATTAAAAAAATTCAATAAACAAATTTATCGCTATATTCAAACCCAAAGTTTTAGTGCAGCCGACCATAAGAATTAATTTCGAACGTTTGCCCTAACGAATTGCAGGTTTACCAATCGAAGGTTAGCAGGTCTGTGGAATAAATAACACCAGATTATTTAACGCTCTTAAGGGTGAACCTTCGAGCATTGCTAGTGGCAGCAAAAAAACGTATGTTGTGTAGTTACTACTAACTAGCTACTTTTCTATTCACCTATCACAGCTTGCAAAATATTGACTAATACTAAGAAATTCTTACAGTATGGTAGCGTAGGAAATATTTCCACCAATTTTTTCAAAGTGATGGCATTATATTACATACACTATACATTATGTGGGCTGTTTGATCGCCCATTTTTCACACTCCTTGGTTTCAAACTATTTTTAGGATTTTCTGAAATTTAATTTGAAATTGATATTTAAATGCAATTCTGAAAAACCTTATTTTCTATGCACAGTGTGCATTAAAATGCAAAAATTTTTACAAAACAAAATTTCTACTCCTACACACCAGTTAAACTTTCCATATGATATACGAATTAAAACTGCTTTTATTTACATGTTAAGAATATTTCATAATAAACAGGTCATTTATTATAATATTTACAAATCTTCTAAATTCCTTCATCGTTGGTTGTTGATGAATTGAATTTGCTAATGTTTCACCAACCATCCTGTTGAGTTCTTCAGGCAGTAAAAAAGTACATTTAAGAGAATTATTGAAATTTCTGCATATTAGCAGGAATTTTGAAGGTAATTTGTCAGTATATTGGGTACTAGCTCCTATTAGAGTAATAACATCTCAAATGTGCAGAGTGTTTACAAAATCAGGATTTTACTACGCTACACAAATTTGCCAACAGTATTTTTTCAAACGGTCTTTTATTTTTCAAAGAAACTTCCACTATCTACAAATCTTCTGAATTCCTTCTGCGTTGGTTGTTGATGAATTCAACTTGCTGACGTTTCGCCAATCATCCTGTTGGCTTCTTCGGAGCTTAACTACTCTAACGCATTCTACTCTGCACCTTCTTTTAGGGGACGAAACTATTGATACCTTACCCTACCTACCTACCCTCCTCCATTTAAACTATAGTAAACTAACTATACACCCATCCTAGCATACGTTTTACCATTGAATTGGAAACTAATAATAAACTCCCATTCTTAGATATTCTTATCAATTAAGATCAGACCTAATATTGGGTCATTCTGTTTACCGAAAGTCTACACACACAGACCAAATTATCGGTTACAGAGCCGTAAAACTGTGTCAGCCCGAGGCACTGAACTCAGAATGAAAACATTTTACTCTTACTGTCTCTAACTATTTTCATATTAGATATATTAAGGGTTTCTGTGCAAAATACACTTCACCACAATATTTCACACTTGCCTTCATTCCTGACATTCAAAATATCACTGACCATATACCAAAATTTCTAAAAAAATATAACGTCAAAACCAGATTGATCGCTTGTCCAAAAATTTCTCAACATCTTCGATCGGTCAAAGACAAAATTCGGTTTCAGAGACCAGGAATTTACAGCATTCCATTCATATGCGCCAAATATAAATTGGAGAAACTGGACGAAAAATATCAATTACGCTCAAATTATGAAAGAGCATTAAGACTACGACAAATAAACTCATCAGCAATTGCCAAACACAATCACAAAACCGGATATCCAATTTAATTCGATAAAACTAAAATTTTACCGACGAAAAATCCGTGAAGCTATAGAAAATCTTTAAGTAACGAAACTATCTTAACCGCGACTCAGGTCTTTAGCTTACGCCAATATGCGAGCCATCATCTGAAATAACGTTCATGTTGCTCCTTTAGCTGCAGAGCATACCATCTCTTACTTTATATGAGTAATAGAAATTATTTTATTAGGTTTGCCCACCATTGTCATTTTTCCTCATACACTTTTGATTTTAAATATTCTCGGAGGAAAAAATCCAGTGGAGCAATATCTGGAGATATTGCAGGCCATTCTATTGATCGCCTTCTACCAACCAACTAAATACCGCATTTACGTACGTCTCGGACCACATAGGTATGGCGTCTATCTGACACATCAGACTGATTTGGATTTGTGAAAGAAACTACTAGAGTAGGAATTAAGTAGTTTTGACGAAACTTTAAATATCTCTGCATCGCGGATTATTTGCATTTCAATACCTACGATCTCTCCTCCAATTTTGTTTATTTCTTGCATCATTTAAACAAAACGTGATTACATCATCATAGTTTCACAAAATTGAAGTCTGCCGTCGGAATCCTCTTCGTTCAGCATCTGTAGTGGTGCAATTTTATAAGGATGGTGGGTTTTCCGTTGGATAACATCATTATTTGAAGGTACTTCAGAAGATGCACTCAACGCAATAAATTAAAAATTAAAATTTCAATTCTATGGATGTCTTTTAGATCCACCATATTCACTATCTTCGATAAAATTGAATTTAAGAACTTTACTGATACTAGCTATGTACCTATAAATTTGAAAATTAACTTTCTGTTTTTTATTAAAAAATGCTGTAAATTTTCTGTTTAGTTTTGGTTAGTTAGTTACTTAGTTAAAAAATGCCCAAGGACAAATTATAAAGGACGTATGAAATCCAGTACCTGACTTTCAAATGAATTTGTTCCATATTTTAGCCTTCCACTGTATAACGTAGCATTCCTCCATGTCTTAGGGAAAAATATATCAAAGCCTAGCTGCAGCACAACGTGATTTAATTTGATTTCAGATATCGCAGCGGCGGCAGCAGGTACCTCCCCTAGGAGTCAGTACTTGCAAAAATGCCAGCAGCTATTTCAAATAGGTAGTCGGGGGAGCGAAGCCGGATGTTTTACATGGCCGAGAGGCGTGGCCGTCGGCCCAGATAACAGCATCATTGTAGCTGATTCTTCCAACCATAGAGTGCAAGTTTTCGATTCCCGCGGACGTTTTCTAAAAGAGTTCGGCCAGTACGGTAACGGAGAAGGTGAATTTGATTGTCTCGCAGGTGTTGCCGTTAATCGCATTGGACAGTATATCATCGCTGACAGATACAATCATAGAATCCAGGTAGGAAGTAGATATGAGCGTTGCGATTCATATTCGGCAATGTGTGAAATCACACACAGATTACAGTAAATATGAATGAGGGTACACGGAAAAAACAAAATTTCTTTCAAAATTTCAAAATTTGAGCATAAGTAAACTTTGCATATACTTAGACTATGACTTAAAAAAAAGGGGAAATTCTCAATATCGTAAGTTTTCTTTAACAAAATGAAATGCTTCATTTGAATATTTCAATTTTTTTAAACAAAAATGTAGGTAATTCAAATTAAACACATATCGCTTCGTTTTAAAATTTTAGATATTTTTAGAAACATAAAGTTACTCTATTTAAATGAGCATAATTTTATATTGAATTTTTGCTAGTTTTCATATAGTTGCTTGGTTTAAATCAAGTATTATGTCAATTCCAAGTTATACATGTTTTGGTTGATCTTATCGCAGTTTTATAGTGATAATTGGTGGTAACCTTATTAAAAAAAAAAAAGTTTATTGTTTGTAATGTTTATTGTTTAAAGGAAATTTTTGTATAATTTTATTTGGATTATTCTACCAATTGAAACATTTTATTCTGGGCTTCGGCTTATCTTTTTACTAAAACATATTATTTATTGACCCATGACTTTACAATTTTTAACAAATAAAGCTAGTTACAAAATACTTGTTAAATGGGCTTTTTCAAAGGGGTTACTAAACAAACATTAATAATTATGAGAAAAATGAATTTCTATCATTGTTAAAGATATTTACGTTATTTGCATTAATTTTGTTTATCCAAAACTAGTATTTCTATTATTATATATAGAGCATTTTTGTGATACAGAATTTAGATTCAATCAACATGTAAATATTTACTTTAAAACTACTTCTGGCCGAAGAAAAAAATTCTTTGCCAACTCTTTCTTTTAATTTTGAAAATGAAAGGAAGGGCTTTAAAAGAGATTTTTGTAACCGTGTAATTTGCATAGGCAATTTTTCGTATTGTAAAATTGAACAGATTGCCTTAAGGAGAATCACAAATCCTCAAAAATTGTTACTCTTGTTTTAAGTCCATAAGTGTTATCGTTTAGCCACAAATCGACTTTTTTATTCTCGGAACGTGTGTCGGATGTGGAAATGCAGGTCACCTGCAGGCGAAGTGCACTAAATTTTTCAAAACAGTATGCTACAAATGAAAAAAGTGAAAAAATGGCATAAGTCAATTAAATAACATGTTTTATATGTTACTTAAATTAAACATGTTATTTCATTGACCTATCCCATTTTTTCACATAGTCGAAAATAAAAAAATATTAATAATCATGGGGAATCATTTTCAAAATACCCGCGGTTCTTTTCCAAACATTTTCTTATCTATTTTAAAAAATGATGTCGAACGCGAAAAAATAGGCCTACCCTATTTCTAATGATTTCGCAATTGGTTATTATTTTTTGTCATAGCACATTGATATCTGTTATAGGTGTTTCATAGACTAAAGACATTAAATGCCCCCAAAAAAGAAGTACATCAGATTAAGATTAGATACATGTTCTCATTTTTCAATGTTCCACTGAAGCATATTTCGAAAATTTAAGAATTGCGGGTAATTTGGAATCTTTGAAATGTAATTGTAATTTGAATTTTGGTCTCCCTTTATTCATATTATCGAGTTTGAATGATAATCTTTCACCAAGTCTTCTGTGTATGTTGATAAATGACTTAGCAGATGACTCAACTTAAAACAAGAGGAACAATTTTTGAGGATTTGCTATTCTACTTAAGGCAATCTTTGCAATACAAATGCAAATGCAAATAAATAAAATACAGGCAAAATAAACAAAAATGTTCTGGATAAAGCGCCCTCTAGTGACAGATTTCTGGATCACTTTTACGTTGTAACGATGTTTTTTACTAAATCAGGGATATGTGTAAAATACCAGCTTATTCTACCACTACATTAAAAATACAATTAAATAAAATGAATTTTGACAAACTATAACTCGGAAAATATTACGATTTCCAATTTTTGTTACATGACTTACTACCATTATTTTATCACATTGAATCTGTCCTCTAAGTTTCCGAACTCAATTTCCCAACGCCCTGTATGTTACATACAAATAATTTCCATTATTATTGATCAGCCCACGGGCTTATAGCCTGCACAAAACTTGCCACCAGTCGGCGTAAAATTTCTCATAATTTGAATGTACTTGGGAAAAATCCCTACTCCCTATAACATACTTAAAAGATGTAGGTAGTAAATGTGGTACTCATGGTATTAAATACATACCTGTTAATACTTTTATAACGGACTCTGGAAGTTGCCAACTTTGCAATGTGTCTTCTATATTTATTGGTCGACAACCCTTACACCTTACACCGATAAAAACTGAAACTGCACTAAAAATTCGTATGACCAATCGTAACACTTCCTCAGGCTTCGTGCAGTCACGGTACTGTGCGATTTTACACTATAATGGAAGGTATATTTTAAAAGCATTTTCAACTTGAGTATGTCAAACTTATTAGATCAAGGATATCTTAATTTTGAGACAATTATTTTATAGACCTATATTTTCTGACATTGACAACCCTATTCTCAAATTGCAAGTACGTTACGTTTTGTCATTTTCATTTGAACACAAAATATCATATTCATTTTTCATCCTGATTTAAACTGGTGTCCTTAATTTTAAAATACTTAAATTGAAATCGAGTGGAAAATATTGAAAATATACGTATCTACAATTAAGAATTCGTTTTTTTTTGTGTAAAAAATCTTATTAGTTATATATAGTATAAAAATAAATAAAAGAAAAAATAATAAATACATATAAAATAAACAATATGATATCTTGTTTATTCATCACAAATAGAAAACCGGATTGACTAGACAACTATTTTTAGTAAAGTAACATTAAGTTTAATTCATAATTTCCTATTGAATGGCTAACAACGAAAAATGAACAGATTTACGGTATTTTAAAAACATATTCGTGATCTTTTTCTAATATTTGAGGCGGACGAAAAATCTCAATTATTCTTAAGTCGATTTCCAGCAACCTTAATTCGCCTAACTAGAACTAGAAATAATCTAAGACCTCGACTTATCGACATATTTGCAAAACGTTCATCTAATCAGTTTCTTACATCACGTCCAAATTGCCTGCAAACAATTGTCGGATTCCATGTATGCCAGAAAATCCTCTCCATGTGGCTGATGTCTTTGTTGAAACCAACGCAATTTCATTTTTTGAAAACACCTTCATAGCAGGTACTTTGATTAAACAGTTAAGTTATAAATCATTTGAAAAATGCAAATGCAAAAGATTTACGTTTTACTCTTCATTTGTGATCAGAAACAGCAACCTTGGAAATGTAATATGCGTCTTTAAAGAGAACGATTACAAAAATATATAATCTACGTCCCGATAAGATGTTTTTAAAATTAATTTATTATAATTAAAACTTTAAAATTAAAAAAAAATTCAAACTAACCAAAACTAATTTATCGATTATTAACTTATTACTTATTCAAACTGCTAAATATGACTCCGTTTCCAATAATGCGTCTATAATCATAATCTAATTTATTCGAAGCATTAGCAATAAACTGACTGTGATTTTCACTTGTATCATGATCCAGAAGTTTTTTTTGCAGTTCTTCAATATAGTACGTTCATAAACTTTATAATATAGTACTTTTTAATGTAGTACGTTCATAAACTTAATTTTTTGAGAATCTTGACAAAAATGAATTATGAATGAATTCGGAGCCACTGAATGATTAATTTTTCCAGGTTTGATATCGCTAATTTAAAAAGTTCGTGACAGGTAAAACGTTATGTGGTAGGGCAGCATCTTGACGTTAGAGAAGTTCTTGGCACTGCTGTAAGTTTTCAACAAAATTTTCATTTTTTTAGTACTTTCATCATTCAATGTCTCACCATAGTTAATTGAGACAGAAATATTGACAAGCAACAAACAACATTTGTCATGTCAATTTATTCAATAATAAAATTTCTATACTTTCGCAGAATCATGCCCATTAAAATCGTGAACCTTTATAGAAGGTGTTTCATTAAAAAAATACAAAAATCCTACAGTTCCGAGGTTCAGTTCATAAATCCTAAGCCCCTATTCAAAAATATCAAATAAAAAGAAAAAATTTTGCAGAAGTGAATCTCATTTTAAAAAATTCGAATAAAACTTATCCCTTATAATCATCGGGACGGAAGTATATTTAATGCTTTAGAATGGAAAAATATGTTTTGTAGTTTTTTATTCATTATTACCGCAGTTTTCATATTTTTAGGTATTCGACCCTTCTGGAAGATTTCTAAGGGCTTTTGGTAGCCAAGGTACCGCGGACGGACGTTTCAATTATCCCTGGGGAATTGCCACGGATGCTTTAGGTTTCATCTATGTTTGCGACAAGGAAAACCATAGAATACAAGTAAGACTAATACCAGGTTCATACAGTTTGACAGTCAGATAATGATATCATGTTATTAAGGTTTTCCAATCAGATGGTACATTTGTGGGGAAATTTGGCTCGATGGGAAGCAAGAAAGGACAGCTCGAACATCCCCATTATATAGCAGTATCCAACACCAACCGTGTTATAGTTTCCGATTCGAACAATCATCGCATACAAATATTCGACGTTAATGGCAAAGTGTTATCTTCCTTTGGCTCGGAGGGTTCGGAAGGAGGACAATTTAAATTTCCAAGAGGTGTAGCAGTCGATGATCAAGGTTACATATGCGTGGCTGATTCGGGAAACAACAGAATTCAAATCTTCCACCCTGACGGCACCTTCCTTCGAGCTATTGGATGTTGGGGATCACAGAAAGGCGAATTCAAAGGTTTGGAAGGTGTTGCGATGACACCGGATGGGCACATTCTAGTGTGTGATCGAGAGAATCACCGAATTCAAGTGTTTTGAGAATTTAATTGTTTGACCATTTGATGTTCTTTTTGAAATACACCCCTGTTAACTCAATAATCAATAAACGTATTGCATTTCCTTAGGTTTGTCTTTTAGTAAGAGGTTGAGTGTTTTTTTTTAATCAATTCAACTCGAAACAGACAACATTGGAAATTCGAATGGAACACTATGTATATTGGTTTTGCGCAAAATTCTAAGAAGCACCTTTTGTGTACTTGAACTAGCTATTAGAAATTTTGCAGAGGTTGACTAATGACTTTGACGATAAATCACACAGGTCGTAACAAATATTTGTATCTTAAAAAAGAAAATTAGTTACTAGTAGAAACTCATCTTTTTTAAATTACAACATTACAAAGTACTTATTTACCTAAGCATTTGACATTGGCACATAGTTTTAAATTATGGTCTCGAAAAATTCAAAAGGCAAATAAATGAATATTAATCTGGATATCTTAAACTTGTTTTACATTCTTGGTGAGTGTCACAGACCTAGTAAATCATAATCAGGGATTTCTTAACAATATTCCTTATGCATATGTCCTTATCACAATAAGTACATATATATATATATATATATATATATATATATATATATATATATATATATATATATATATATATATATATATATATATATATATATATATATATATATATATATATATATATATATATATATACATGTACTTATTGTGATATATATATATATATATATATATATATATATATATATATATATATATATATATATATATCCTCTCGTATTCAGGTATCCGGACTTTTCTATCTCGATGGCCTCTCGTATAATCCTAGTCTTAAAATCAGAAATATTAGCTATTTGTTTGCAAGTACCGAAATCAATTTTATGGCCTGTCTGATGTTGATGCTGAAACAAAGCAGATGTTGTTTGTTTGTTTCTTATGGCTAAACGATGTTCCTCGAGCCTGGCTGAAATCCTTCTGTTGGTCTGTCCCACATACGTCAGGCTGCACGATCCGCATGCTACACTGTATACTCCTTGGTTTTCCAGAGTAATTTTTTGTTTTGGGTTTCTTAGTATTGCTCCGATGGAATGATCAGGTTTGTATGCCGTTGATATGTCGTGTTTTCGTAATATTCGGCCGATTTTGTCAGTAACCCCTCTCTGCTGCGGCTGTTGTTATTTACCGATTGCATTGCTGATGATGCGCCTTTGGTGTCCGTTTTGTCGAAGACAGGTACTAATTTTTGAGCCTGAAGGACCGAGCAATTAATGTATTTGCCACTGCCTGTATCTGTGATATACTCATACTCAATTAACGATGTTGCGTAGTTCAAGGCCGTTATTTTAGGCGCACAATTAGAAATGAATCCTTTTCAGTAGAAAAGGATTCATTTCGACCGTATTTGCAGCGTATTTGCGGGTAACGAACGAAATTTTGGTGACTTCCCTTAAAAATGAATGGAGTACTAAATTAATGCCTTTTCTGATTTTGGATAAAAACAAGAAAATGTTCAAAAAGATATGATGAAGATATGATAAACACAATTTGAATATTGGCAGTTTAATTGTTTTTCTGTCTTTAATAATAATAAAGGACTTTTATTATAGAAAATAAACAAATATAATTTTGAAAAATTTTCTTCCTCTTGTTCGCCTTGACTAGTTTATTTATACACAAAAGCTGCTTAGGTACATTAACTTCAATAAAATGAATGAATTAAAAGGAAAACATTAAATAAAAAGTAGGAAGCCTGAAATATCGTAGATTTCGCGAGATCAATTAAATAGGTAAATGCTGATAAAGGTTATTTTCAGACATTGTTTATTTGTATTGGTTCATTTTCAGTTCTTAATTTATACTAGAGTTTAAATATATTACTGCTCTTTTTTTTTAAATTAAATAATTTTTTTTAAATAAATTCATTTTTTGATTGTAGTATTTTAGCCGGAAATTTCTGAACTATTTTTGAGTAGTTCAAAATAGTGTTATAATATAGCCCGAAAACGACGGTTTGACGTATATACATCTATGCTAAAATGCAGTCTTTGCTGCAACTACTTTGGAATATGGTTTTTTATAATTATGAAATATAAGGTCGCAGACTGTAAATATCGTGTAAGATGTTGGGATACCTTATGTTAGTCTTAGGCAATAGTTCTGCAATCGCTGAGCTCTGTGAAAGTTAGTTTGATTTAAACACTGCGTCACAGCACTTTACTTGTCAGAACGACTGAAAGCTCACAAGAATTTTTTCTTACATGTGACTGAATTTGTTGCTTTATGAATTTTTTCAGGATTTTGGACAGAGCGGGCAAAGTGTTTAGTGAAGTTGATTAGACTAGTCTGGTTTGTTTACTTTATTTAATAAACTGTGGAACTTAACATAAAATAAGATAAGGACAATTTAAAATAATTTAAGTGCAAAACACGGAACCTAAGAATCATTTAATATTTTTATCGGAATTTTATTTATTATTCATAAATTATAGTTATTTTAATAAACAGAACCCAATAAGTATTCGAATACAAAATATCCTGAATACTTTTTATACACCGAACGTCAGTTTTCTTACTGAGTGGCAACTATTCGCTAACTCTATAAGATTGATGGGAGCAAACGCTTCCCGAGTGACTTCCTCTAATTATGATTTGATTTAGAAAATTCTTTAATATAAGATCTGTAAATATCCCCCATAAAAAAAGACTAGAAGAGTTAACATCACACAATTTCGCAGGCCACTAGTTCCAATCCAACTTTATCCAAACACTTCATTTAATACTCTTTTCAAGAATTAATGCTTGGATTTTGCAATACTTCTGCAATCATATTCAATTCCCGGATTTTCTCTTCCTCATTTAAGTCGTTTTGATTTTGCCTTGCCTCCTTGTCTGGTTGTTGCTGCCCTGGATATTTATCGAAATAAAATTCATTAAATGCCTCTGCGTTCAGTTTTTCCATTAAAATTATGTGACACAAAATTCAATAGAGTATAAAATTTATGCCCTTTACTGACAGCGACACAATACACTAATACATAAAAAGAATGCCCTATATTTCAGGACTATGATTGCCATATAAAATAAGGAAGTTGAATTCATTGATGACAAAACGAAGAAATTTAAAAAAAATCTGAGTACGCTACTGCATTTGCCTTAAAATGCCATAATAATGTTTTTATCTGGATCCAAAATTTTCGTAAATAAAAATGTTATGGGCAATTTTCTAAAGGGCCGAAAATTTAAAAACGCTCTATATCTCGGTAGTGAAGATGTCGCCTTGCGGATTTAACAATTAAATGTTTCTCAAGAATGGAACCCTTGGACATGCAAGTTGGGTTGTGAAAAGTCAAGATGTAAAAATGTCCCGACTTCGTTTATATTTTTGTAGTAGTAGAAATGCCTTTTTCCTTAGTGGATTCAATAAGTTCGCAAAATTCTATTAAACTGGATTTGCGTTTGCACTTTCTTGCTAAAATGTAATAATCACTTTTTATCATTTCTTGTACACTAAGAATGCATCATCAATTGGTCGTATAAAAATCGTGCGGTGCAGAGGGTGGTGGGGGTGAATTTTCTAAAAATTGTCAAGAAATTATTATTTTTTTGTTATCTACGCCATACTGCTCTTAAATTGACAAAACCGCTTTTCAATATTTTTATTAGAAATACTTTATTTTTTCATTTTAAAAACACCGCATATGCTTTTATATGGGAGTTTCTAATGAATAAAAGCTTGCTCTGAAAACTCATTTTTATGTTACCGTTTACCTCGCTGTAACTTGAAAACTATTTGGTTTATCAAAAAAGTGTTTCCTATAATAGATATGCATTGAAGGTCAACGAATCCGTTATTTTTTTGAAACCCCCAATCTGATGGAAAGTTTTTTTTTCATTAGCAAAATGTGAAACCATGTCGTGAGTATCACGGCCGCCAGCGAAGCAGCGAGGAAGGGCCAGATTTGCGAGGACGGTCAGGCAATAAACGACTGTGCGGTTCCGACTTGCGATTGTAGACCCGCTTTCACAGCGAGGATGATTTTATGTATTTTTTATGTCTGCCTTTTAAAATAGTTCTCCTTGAGGGAGTGAAGTAGTTTTTAATGTGACTAAAATATTATTTATTTTTCTGTAAGAATGATAAATAATAATGAATTAGTTATAATTTTCATCCAAATGATCGATATAGATTTACATAATAATGGATATTAAAATCAGTACCAGTTCTAATTGCGAACTTGATTCTATAATCAAATTAAGGTCCCTATCGAAAAAAGCTGCTAACACTAAAGGAAAAGGTTCTAACTTGAAATTATGTGTCAATAAGGCGGAAAGTTCATAACGTCAAAACAAATATCCAAACAAAAATTAACTGAATATGCAAAAATCCGCATGAACATCTGTTAAGGCAAGGATCCTAATGCTCTACATATTTTTTTGAATTTTAATGACATAAGAGAACAAGTTTACAAAAGTGTTACAAAACCTATACGAGTTTGAAAATGCCCATTTTGCCAGAAACGTTTAAAAAATCAAAAGCTCTGACAAGTCAGGACTAATATGGAAAAACAGAATTAAAACTCGAAGAAATACGAAATTAAATGCTTCATGCTATTTGATAGAATCACGTAAAACAATAAATAAACTCGCACATGGGGATCTTTGGTTAAAAAAGTTAAAGGCAAATTTGGGGATCGAATTAGTGAATTCTCCAAGAAGAAATATATAACCTAGAACAACCTAGAAATTTTTTGAAACGGTTTTCTAAGGAGCGAGTCATTGAAGTAGTAGTGCATCACACTAAGAAGGAAACGTCCAACTATTTATCCTTTGCTCTGTCGGGAATGACGAAGATTTGCCAAAATATTAAAATGGAAATAAATGGAATACCAAGTAATGCAGAATTTAAAAATTTAAAAATTAAGGATTACAAAAAGCATATGCCAAATAATTTATATTTTTTAACAAGTCTTCTTGTCTACAGCGAAACATGTAATGCCAGGAAAGAAACGAAAATATTGTGTGAAAATTGTTAAGATGATGAGTGTTGAGGTTGCAACATCCGGGTAATTCAAAGTCCAAAAGGTTTTCGCAAGCA